GCCATAGAGTCGCGGCCCACATCCACCGGCATAGCGCTCACCGATACGCCTTGCTTTTTGCTATCTCCTCATTACAATAGTAGCCAGGGCCCTCAGTATGTCGCCACATAAAATATACATAATGAAGCGGCACGCGCGTCTATGTTCGATACAGTACGCTTTTTGCGCACTTGACTGCACCTGAAGTTTCTTCGCTGCATCAACTAGCTATGAATTATAATTAAATTATTACTAAAAAGACATAGCTGTCAAATAACTCTTCAGATATGTCTTGAAAATTAAACAAGACTTTAATTGTTGTTTATGGTTTCATTAATGTCTTATTATGCGCCATCACAGCGTGGATATTTAGCAAGAGCTTATTAGGATAAAGCATTTAAGTTATTTTTAGCAACTTTAGAATATATAGTACAGTTATTCTGACTTAACAATGGTGGCACCGGTTTGAGATAGCACCATGGTTAAGTCGGTGTATTATATAGAGAATACCAGCGTAAAATAGCAGCTCAAGCTGCAATGTACGATTTAGGCCACTGCGGTGACGTAATGGTTTATAAGTACGTGGTAGAGCCACGTTATGGCTACATTATAGTTGTATGCTTAATGCTGTTGTTAAACTTGATGAGTGTAGAGAAGTGAAGATCCTTTTTACAGGATACGAGGCATTCTATCTTAAATTAGGTGGACTGTGTGCTCACTTGCCACCATTATTCTATAAAAAGGTCTGATAACTCTTTTACTGTGATGCTATCCTTAGATTTATTTAAGTGTTGCCGTATTACGGGAATATTTGACACTGCACTACAACCTGCGTGAATGGAGATTCAACGACTTCAACGAGATCCGCTACACGGTGAATAAGTGCAAGTAGATAAATTGTGTTCTAGGATTCCTTGTCATAAAAACGAAAATCTCAAGGTTTAAGCTACTAGCTGCCTGAATAGTTGGTTTATTTTAATGCAAATTTAAGTGCACGTATTTCAAGCTTCACCTTAATATTGCATTGCGTTAATAAATTCGGTAAAAATGTTTATGCATTTATATTGTATGTATCGAATGCAAATGCAATGTAACACGTGTTTCGTCGTGCCCCGCCTTGCTTGTCCAGAGATCAGCATTGCGAGTCGCGACATCGCTCTCGTGCATGCAGCCAGTATCTTGCATCTGGCGGCTGATTTGCATTAGGGGGCGCCATTCACTGCTGCGTCGTGGGTGCAGCGCGCGCGGTGGGCGGGGCAAATGGCCGGGACACGCCCGCACCACCACCTCGCCCTCGCCGCACCCGCGTCCAGTTGCGAACAGAGGCTATGCCTACGGGATCGAGAGCGTACTACGGAATGTTGTGCTTGTAATGTTTAATTAAAGGCGAGTACTTCCGAATTCCGAGTCTACAGATTTTATGCCGCGACACATTTGCTACCTATTAAACTTAACAATGCATTTAATCGAACAGAAGCAAATGAGCACGCGATAAATGGTCGTGTAATGGTGTTGTAAGAATATCCAGTGCTGTATATCGTCCTGTGGGTGCTCAGCAGTCGGACGGACCAGGAAATTTGCAGCAGCTTCATCTTCAAAATTGAAAAATAAAATACCTGCAAAGCGCAGCAGTTATGACAAATAACTAACAGCATAATATGTAACAGCATGTAAGCCCATGGGCAACCTGTACTCTATGTTAAGCAAGTAACTTCTGACTTAAACTTTTGACGCGCTAATAAATATGTATAGGGGTTGCACAGACAATGTATCCTTAAGGACGTGTTGTATTTTTGTATTTAATTATTCTCTAGCCAAAGCAGCTCAGAGGATCAGTACTTGCCCTAAAATATCCTTATACATACCTACAGCAAACAAAGTTTAGTCATTGTCATGAAACTGTTACTTGCGATTGAAGTGAACATTTACCACGTGATCAGCGAAGAAGAAAAATGTTGTGAATAAACGAAACTTAATATGTTCCTCGAACTTATAAAATCTACTAAAACGTGTTGACATTGCAGTGGACCGCTTGCTTTAAAAATAAAAGTTTCCGAGGCAAGAGTGAATAGGCTCCTGTGAGGAGCCAGCGCAGCGCGCTACGTCAGTGCACTTTAGAATATTCAAGTCCATTGCCACTTACCATCTGAGTCAGTAGTGATGATGATGTCCTCCTGGGTAGAGCCACGCTCTCACAGAACACCAGCGTGAAATTGCTGCTTAATGCTATTTGGTTTCAAGTGATGAGTGTAGGGAAGTGGAGACCTTTATTACTGGAAATGAGGTAATCCATCTTAGTTCTCAAAGGTGAAAACGCATAAGTATTTTTTTTTTAGTTTTAACTGATTACTAATGGGTATAGCTGCAGCGTGGCGCCACCACTTACAAACGACAAAACGCTTTACGTACGTTGAGACATACAAATATAATTGAACTGTGTGTCTGTAATATTGTTTAATAAATCATCATCATCATCATCATTACAGCCCTTCACATGTCGACCACTGAACAGAGGTTTGCCCCAAGGAATGCCACAAAGCACGGTCCTGAGCCAATATTGGAATAGCTGGCTTCGTGGGCTATTTGAATGAAAAAAAAGGAAATATATCGGTCTTTGATTATTTTAAATCTTAATACCTAGCTTCACATTAATACATCTTATCCCGAAGTCAAGGCGGGTTACTAGTGTTTTATAAAGGAATTAAAATGTGAATTAAATTCCAATTTCATTTCACATAATGTATGTCAACATGTGCACGATCTGGTCTAGCACAATTTGACTTCAAGAGTAAGCAAGTGCATAAATGGTACGACATTGATCGCACGGTGCGGCGTTGTCTCCATAAACATCGCAACCGGCACTCGCGAGTCCTCCGCGCTTGATACTTGTCACATCTCCTCTGGATTCCAAAAAACCTCGTGAAATCAACTAATGACAGTGCAGGCACAGGGCAGGGGCGCTGCACGCTGTCATCGTTTCCCACGCAACAGCTTCTGGTGTAAATCACGAGGCCGCGCTCATTAACTATTTAATTAATTTCACTCCAAAGAATTAGAAAAGATTTTTTTTATTTAAAAACATTAAATACTTATTGAAAGTAACTTTTATGTATAAACTACTTCTGTTTTGGGAAGAACCTTGGAAAGAGCTTATTATTTTCTAAAGGGCCGGCCACGTACCAGCAATTCCTCTGGTGTTGCGGTTGATCATGGGCGGCGGTAGTCACTTACCATCAGGTGAGCCGCATGCTCGTTTGCACCCTCTTCTATATAAAAAAATTTAATTATATTCTTTCAGTTTGTTATATAAATACAACTCCATGTCATCACCTAGGTGTCTTAAGAGGCGACAAAGGAAAACTGCTCTAGGAGATGCGCGCTAACACCAGGCCCTAGGTGGTAGCGGGGCAAGTATCGCCTGCATAAGGCCAACGTGCCAGCAACAAACCCACAGCGACTTTTTTAAATAAAAGAACAGCTAATTTACACAATAATTAGTAAACAAAAACAAATTAGAAATAGCTTGGCAGCGATCACTTCAATTCCAGGGGTCATTATCATCCATAATTTCCTTAATATTATATAGCAACTCTTCTTATACACTATTTCTTATATAAAGTTTTAAAACTTGACACAAGTCAGATTTTGTATATTTTCTGGGATTCTGGGAAAGTGAGTTTCGCTGCTCCATACAGCTAATGGCATGTTATTACTGATTATTGCGTAATGGCTAAACGGTAAATTCCAAGAAGTCAAATGCGAGTTGTTACACGTGCAATATTGCCTTCTGAACAAGCAACCTGATCGGTCAGTTACCTTCTGAACAAACGAACTGCTCACAACTTGCAAAGTAGCTTAGCCTCGTTCTTGTACACTACCGTCAGTTTAATAGACAGCACTTTCCCTTTTTTAACTTGTTAGAAGCCAGTGCCGGACCACAGTTCCACCTGGTGGTGAGCTGGGATGTAGCTCTAGATGGTAAATCATCATCAACGTCTTCGTTATCACAGGGATAAAAACTGTAATAAAGTCATACTTTACTTTAGGTAAAAATATTTGTTGGATGTTCGTAAGCGTGGCTAAAATATTGCAAATGAAATGTTTAAGCTATCTCATGAATGGGCGAACACTTCTTTTATTTTATATATTTTATCATATGAAACGGGCTCTCGAGGAATGTATCAGTTTGGAGGAATGTATTGGTATTATGATCATTGCCCGCCAAAACGGGATAACGTGCACTTATACAGACATTAATTTGAAAGGTATGCATTTTAACAAGCATTTTTTAAGTTCCATAGTTTTTAAATTTGAGCAAGCAAGCACGTTACACATATTATGAGTACGAGGGCGTTGAAAAATATGAGAATACGGTACGAATTGTTCGAAATGCCAAAAAGTAATTACTGGTTGATAAAGCTGCAATCTCTAAGCTACCGGTAAAAAAAGTTCCTAACTTATGTTTAAAAAAAATAAAAGTTGGATTTTTTGCGGGAAATTGGCCGTCGACGGATTGTTGATCTTGTCTTATCGTTTAAATAATGGTTTGAAGTGGAGTTTGATACACAAAAGTGGCGTTAAAGTGTTGAGATTTTATGTATTAAAAATAAAAATTATGGAAAGGAAGAAACAAGTGCTCCGATGGAGATGTGACCCTAATAATGTGTCTGCTCAGACGCCTTGAGATACTGTCGACATTAACTGTCTGGCGGCTCAAGCTGCCGGCAAAATCGCACAAAAGTTTCGCATTGTGGCGCGTCAACATATTTCGAACAAGTTTTTAAGTAATATTACAAATGATGACAAAAGTACAATAGTACGAGTCCATTACAATGTAGAAGAAAAGAAACAGAAGAATAACTTCATATTTTTGTTTAAAAAAAACGGACGTTTTTTCATGTTAGTAAAAATTAAAAAAATCACTGTTACATTAAATCAAACAAACACGAAATATATTAGAGGTAAATACTCTGCCGAATTATACTGTCGAACGTTGGTGCGCCGAATGTAAACGCATTAAATTAGTTCAAGCTCTTAAAAATGGAATGTTGTATAGTTAGTTTACGGTAGCGGGCTGCGACGAGCCCAGAGCCACGAGCAGGCTCGGTCTTGGTTCTCCGAATGCCGACTTCTGGGAACGCGCGCGCCACAATGTTGAAGCCTGTACCGTTCTCCTCGCCAAAACCGACTTGCCCTTCAAACAGTAAGGAATAGAAAACGAATAGATATTCCATAATATCTGCAAATATTCATTTAAAATTTAAAAGACAATTCGTGGCAAGTTGCTAAATAAATTCTAATAAACCAAGGTTTCTTTATTGAAAATTATGTACGAATGAGATAAATAAGTTTATTTCACCCGATTATTTCTTTTTGTGTCACGTAAAAATGAAAAGAAAAAGAAGAAAACTATTAAGTTTTAGTTCCTTTCTTCTCAATAATAAGAGTTTATAATCTTATGTATATATGGTATATACATATATAGTATATGTACATTACCATTTTCCACAGCATAAAAACGTGCCGGCGATCGTGTGCGTATGGAAAAGTCGTAAGAAGGCGGTGCCATCGGAACCCGCTGCCGCTCGCGCTGTCCGCCCGGCTATACAAACTCTCGCATTACGACGCGTTTAGTACTTTCGGTTGCATTTTGGAAGCCGTTTATACTTAAATGCTACTACCAATTCGCCCCGGCTTTATCCGGGTTGAACAATTATAAATAATTCTCTCAAGACTGATTTCGGTCACGGCGGCCTGTCTGAACGGAGACTGGCTATCAGCGGAGGACAGGATTATAGTGCCCGAGTGTGGTGCACTCTTTATTCCCTCACCCTCATAGATGCTTTCTATTACCTCACCCGATGGGATGGTGATAAGACACGACCGGAGAGAGATCAGGCGTAGGACCAAAGGCCTTTATGTGCTTTCCGAGGCACGGGGGTGAGACACCGCCAGCTTCCAGACTCCGAACTACTATTGATAATTCCATGACAGAAAACCCTAATAACACAATTTTTGCCCCTTTATTTGAACCGGGACCTCACGGCATCGGCAACCGCGTGTACGACCTCTAGACAAACGAAGAGGTCAGGGTTGAACAATTATCAATTATTACCCCCCACATATACACAAACTCACAGAATTCGTATTCTCTCTTTATAATTAGCTATTTAAACTACAAAGTAGGTACTCAAAACAAGTATCTGTCACTTAGGTCCGGTATCAACACGACAATGAGTTTAAACGTGAGAACAAAAACAAGAATGGAATATTTTCACCTGATCGTGTCAATTGCAGCGGTTGATAGAAGATGTCTTATTAACAATCACCGCAATGTGCGGTCGCTAATCAGCTGGTGGAACCACATCTGATGTTCTAATTTACCTGACTCATAGATAAGCAGAAGCATTATATTCCAAGAGGGAGTCCTTGCTAGTTATTTTGGACATAGCGCAGGCGTTCGATGGGATATGGCACGAACCGCTTCTTTAGTAGCTTAGTTCTCATGGGCTTCCCGAGAAATTATGCAATTAGATCATCAGTTTTCTTGCAGATCGGAGCATCAAGGTAGTAGTAGTCGTAGTAGAGTGCATACTCCGCCTTCGAGTCTATTAACGCGTGTGCTCCGCAGGGGCTCGCTCATGCTGTTTGATGCTTTTAATATTCGTAACACTGGTGATGCTTTTTATACCAGCCGTGTTGATATTTCTTGAGAACATGTCATTGAGTACTGGGAAAACTTGTGTTTGAAGTAGAGTCTTTAGTGAACAATACCTTGGATTGGGGACGACTCTAGTCCAGTTTAAATTTCAGAAGACAAAGTTTTACGCGTTTACCGCTTAAAAAATCCCTTTGTCGTATCTCCTCAATTTCAGGCACTCCCCATGCTGCCTCCAGGCACGCTAAGCTTTTTAGAGGCCAATTTAGGAGAGGCTAAATTGGCCTCTAAAAAGCTTAGCGTGCCCAGCAGAACGTGATAGTACTTCATAGCGGCATACCGTTTGCAACTTTACAAGGTCCAAGTTCGCCCTCACATGGAATACTGTTCTGATCTCTGGATTGGGGTACCCTAGTGCCAGCTGCTTTCACTTGACCGCATCCAGCGAAGAGTGGCTCGAATCATCGTCAACTGAGTTTTTTCTGATCGGCTCGAAGATATGTTGCATCCCATTGCATTTTCTTACGCTTTTTCCACAGGGCGTGTTTAAACAAATTAAAGTAAAGTTTAAGTTACAGCCTATATATGTCTCACTCCTGGGCACAGGCCTCCTCTCATCCCTGAGAGGGTTTTAAGGCAAGGAAGTGTCCGCCGCGCTGCCCCAATGCGTGTTAGCGAACTTCATATATCTTCGAAATATTTTTTTCTTATGAGAAACAATAACATGCAGATTTCCTCACAAAGTTTTCGTTCACCGCCGAGAACGTGGGTTCAGAGGGCCGAGCCGGCGGGGGTTTAGCGCTAACCATCTGAGCTACCACGGCTCATTTAGGCCAAAAAAAGTTCGAATTATTTACAGTCGCCAAAGTCTACCAACGCAAATCGAGACACAACTCACGGGAACATCCACACAATCTGAAATAAATCTGAATTTCTTATCTATATCTAGGTATATAATCTGGATGCTTGACGGTCCACCATGACTGTGCGATTTACTAGGAATTTTGTTCCTCGCAGGACTTCTTTGTGGAATCATCTACCACCGGCGATTTTGTATGACCGATACGACTTAGAGACCATCAATATTCGAGCTTACTCCCTTTAAAAAAGGCCGGCAACGCTCCTGCAATTTCCGTGGTGTGTAGTTGTTCATGGGCGATGGTCGAAACTTACTATCAAAAAAATTTGACTTAATGTGAGTGAAACCGCGGTGTGGAGAGCTAATACAATATAAATATCCAGTAAATAGGCCGGGGGGAGGGGGGGCGCATATTCACAGTTAGCCTAGGGCAATCGGAACTATAAATCAGGCACTGTAGACACTTCCCCTTAAAAATGAAGACATTGAAAGTTTAACCGACATCTAATTATCTACCGCTTCAAATATTTTTACTTTTTGCCAAGGTTAATTATAACTATGATCCGTAATAAGATCAGATCAATTATGTCTACAAAGAAATTGCAAAGTAAACAATAAAGAGCTCTTTGAAACTCATCTTGATTGTACTGGTAGAATATGAGGCATAACCCATGTTCTACGAGTAGGTAATTTAGTTTTTACACTCAACCGTGGATAATATACTATAAAGGACACATTTAACTGTAAACTAATGTGAGATCAATTCTAACCTTAACCTTGCTTGTTTTTCTACTCTCTTCTGTCTTCAGACATGGACAGCGATAAAAAAATAAGTATAAATTATATTACTAACATAGATGTAAGTTTTTTCTCTACTAACAATTCCTATGAATTCAAGTTGTCCGAAATAAATAATTTTTAATTTTTTTAATTTTATTAATGGTCAGCTATTCTAGTGAACGCTGTCGGCCATACCCGAACATAACATTTATGATAGGCAATAACACCTATTTACTTGAAATAAATTTAAATTATATAATGTACTATCATCAAATTCATATCACACGACAACTCTCCCGGTAGGTACCTGTATTATTTCAGACGTCTCCACCGACTACATACGAGTATAAGACACTAAACACAAAACCAACAAAAGATATATATATATATATATATATATATATATATATATATATATATATATATATTTTTTAATATCACTCTTTGAAGAATATTATCATACGCAGTAAGATATCAGGAAATTTTAATAGTTATTCGTGGCATGAAAAACATTTTTGTTTCTTAGTGTAATTTTTTACCTTTTAGTTCATTTTCAAACATCAGTCTTGCAAAATTAAATGGAAAATAAGAAATATCTTTAGTTTTATTTGTGTTTCGCGTTAAATCGATTTGCATATTTTCTTGTTAATTAATATCATGCATATTCCATAGCATTAATCAAGTTGTTGCTCCATGTTTGTTTTATAGTTCCAAGAATTAATTACTGACCTTTTGCAGCTCTTGAACAACCAAAACATGCGTGTTTTACTGAGTTGACGGTGCGCACCACCTGTTCCTACAGCACATCAGACGTTTAGTGCTTGTGCTGCCAGAAACAAACACACTCGCGATAAAAACGTGCAGCTCTTAGGAGATAAGATAAATAGAATAGAATATAATAGAATAATTTATAGAAAAAATTTCTTACGTGGCAGAGTCATGGTGCAGTTATATTAGTAATATAGTTGTAGCACGAATGGGTGGCTCAACCGGGGAAGGATCACGCTCTCACAGAATGCCAGCGTAAAATAGTAGTGTGTTTAGGACCGGAGACCCTTTTTACAGGAAACGAGGCATTCCATGTTAGTCCTCACGGGTGACAACGTATCTGCTTTGTGATTCGTAATCGAGGATAGATGTAGATGTTTATTGGCCACAGCAAGCACTTACCATCAGGTGGACTGTGTGCTCGTTTGTCACCCTATCCTATAAAAAAATAGATTGTTAAACAATACTTATCGAAAGTCATTTTTTTATTTACCAGTGGTTCGAAAAATACCTCTGTCCTAGAAAGACATACAACATATACATAAACACTCACACCTGTCAACCAGAGGGGTAGGCAGACTTCCATTTGGCACGATCCGTACACACCTCTCTCGCCTCCTTTACATCCATGTATCTACGCATACACGCTTGTCGGTTAAGGGTCGGTTAAGGGCCCCCTTTTTCAATATATCGCCAATTTGGTTTATAAACCTTCGTTTAGGGCGTCCCCTCCCGCCTCCCTGAGTCCCTATAAAGAGTCCCTATAAAGAGACCTAAATGCCTTTATCAAACCAGCGCTCAACCCAAATAAGTTCGACTCTAAAATTCGTCATTTAGCATACAGACATTCTCGTCTCGTACTCGTATAGCATTCATTATAGGCTGTTTTGAGTATCCCCTGTCAGTTCTTGAGAGTTTCCAGAACATTTTAATATTTGCCTGGAAGTTACTTACTATTCTTTATTTGGACGTCTAAAGTCTGTGGTTTTTCTTTCAATCTCATCATTCATACCGCCAGAATTACAGCTTTGGTCGCTAGTAAATCTTGCCACGCTCTCTTCTTTGCTTCAACTTCCATACGTACCTCATTATCCCACCATAACGTATTATTTTTCCTTTCATTCATTCTCGTACTTACACAACAAACTTCGGTAGCTGCATTCAGCAAA